TAGGGTCTCAGATAACGCTGCGTGCAGGTAGTTCATCTCCCTAACCTGCTCCAGCGTGAAGATGCCAGTTGTCCCCGAGCTCGCTCTGACACGATGGATCTCGTTCTTTATTTTGCTGCTAACTACGGGCCGCGTCGATATCAGCCAGAAGAACCAGGTGAGGGTGGCCGACGTGGTGTCGCGCCCGGCCAGAACAAAGCTGACGATGATGTCGCGGAGGAACTGGTCAGAGTAGTTCTCTTCTTTTTCGGCTATGAACCGTGAGAGGAGGTCGTCGCCGAGGGCCGCCTGTCTTCTTGATTTCACCACTCTCATTGCGTACTCGTCAACGATTTTGATGTTTTCCTTGAGTTGCCCCTCCAATCCGAGACCGAACATTCGTCTGAGTTTCCAGGAGATGGGCACAACGGCTTTGAACCTCTCGACGCAGATGTTGCAGGCTTGGTCGAAGGCCCTGTAAAATCTTCTGCCTTCGCTGTGCTCATTGTCATCACCGAGCTGAGCTGTGTCCTCGTTGAACACAACCTTGCAAACATTGTCGAAGGCGAATCGCTCGAGGAGCTCTTGCAGGTCGAAGGAGGTTCGCCGAGCGGCAGCGGAGGAGAGGAAGGGGAGGAGACGATTAAGAACCTCGAACCGAACGTTTGCGATGACGAAGGTTCGGATTTAGTCTTTGGTACTGAACTCGAGGCCTAGCCGTTCGTCGCTGGAGCTTCCAGGAATCGCCGTCCAGAGTTGATAGCATGCCGCTCCCGAGTGGAGTCGAAGAGGATATCGTGGCTGTGCGTCTCCCTTGACATTAGGAAAGTTCGAAGCGCGCCCGTCTTGAGGCTCGGCTGTTATATTTTTTGTCCTTGTGTCGACGGTGACGGGGTCGGCGGCTGCGATGATGCCCCATTGCGGTGGAGATGGTGGCAGGTTGGGGAGAGGAGAGTGGAGCATCAGTTGTCCAGTCCAGGATGCGATGGCTCTGTTCTTGATTAGCTCCGGTGACGCGAGCCAGCGTTGCTGCTCTTGCTTGGGTTTGCGGGTGAGGTGAAGAATGAGGATGGCAGATGAGGAGCAGAGACGATGAGCGTTGAGGCGAGAATACTGAGAGGAGCAAGTTGAGCAGTCCATTGATTGGGTTCGTACTGTGAGATAGCACGGCATCAGGATCGCAAGCATATATAAAAATACTGATATTACGTGCTAAAGTCGTTTTTTTTTTGGTATCTAGAATAATGCTCGATCCGATCTTCTTCTACTTAATGAGCCATCTTACTAATATTTACTTATATAAATCAATCTATACCGTCATTATATCTACTGTCCTCAATGATCCCTTCTCTCATTCCCATAACTTAATCTCTTTCTCTCCCTCTTCAATCTCAATCTCAATTCTTCTCCCGCCCTCTCAATCTCTCCGCGTGACTCCTCTCTCCGCCTCGTCGCCGATCTCCTCCTCCGCGGCTCATCTGCCCCTGTCGTTCGACTACCTTCCTTCCGCCCCCGTCGCAGCACTCCTCCCCCGCTCCCTCTGCCCCGTCGTCGACTTCCTCCTCCGCCGCTCTCTCCGCCCCGTTCGCCAACTTGTCTGCGAGGTTCACCCATAGCCAACTCAGCTCAGGTTCTTTACTCTTCTCTTTCCTCAAAATTTTTTCAAATATACTTTAAAAATTGATGCTTTAAGATATATGCTTGCAATCTAGTTAAAGCATGAACTTTAGTTTTCGGAATTTGCAGCTGCGATTTGGTGTTTTGTGTGTCTTATGCTGTTCAATTTGCAGTCATTATTAGTAAAAAATCACATCCTTGGCTAAGTAAATTGCGATAGATCAAATTTGGTTTATTGGTTTGCAGTTTGAATCATGAAAGCCCTTGTCCTTGAATCTAAATGGAGTTATAGAGAGAGATTGGCAGCCAACAAAATGTATTAAGTTTTTTTTTGTTTCAATTTTTATTAGATGAATTTTCTTAGATTGTTAGATTTCATTAGGGATAGCTTTCACTTTACGTTTGCACATGAATTGAGCGTGATTAACATGTATTCATCAGTTTAGCGCTACAAGTATTCCATTATTTTTTTTTTTTTTTTGTATACATTTATTATTTATTTATTTATTGGCACTCAGCTCTTGGCTATCTGCCCATATGTTATTTTCAATGAGCGCATATATCCATTTATGCATTTTTGTACATTTTTTGGCAGCGAAGGGGGACGTGCACATCATAGTCCTTTAGTTTAGCTTCAGATGAATAAAAGTCATCAAATTGGCCAAAAGTATTGGATCTACATAGTTCTGTTGCTAATGGATTGCCACGTGATTATCGCTGATTAACAATCCTAATGATTGTTTTTTTCTGTCTTTTTTAAGAGGCGTTGATCATCTATAGCGAAACGGTGCAAGATACAGTACATACATTTTCATCGACGACATTAGATTTGAGTATTAATGCTGGTTGAAGTCCTAAGGGGTGGCAGTTTTTGACCCCGACCCTATCAACCCGACCCCGACCCGACCCGTTTATATTGGGTATGGCCGGTCAAAGTTATATGGGTCGGCATAAACGCCCGGTAACCCGAACTGACCCGTTTATTAGATGGGTAAAGATAGTTGACCCGCCTAACCCGCTGTAAACACAGAGAGCCTCACCCGTTATAAGGTGCATAACACCGCGATTTGAAAATATCGGGCCGTCACATTTCCATTTTGGTTCTAGCAATACCCGTCCTCTCTTCGCTCTCATCATTAAACTAAAACCCTAGATTTCCCATCTTGCGCTGGCGGCGGAAGCAGCGCGAGCGGCAGCCGAGGAGCGGCGGCTCTCCGGCGTATAGCGAGAGGTGAAGCCGCGAGCGGCCGTCGCTTCATCAAAAGTGACGACGATAGCCGGCCGACAACGGCTGAGCTCGAATCCTCTCTGTAAGTTCTCTTTTTCTCTCTCTACAGCTTCCAATCAAAAATAGCGCTTTCTTTCATTTTTGCCCTCAAAAAGTTCTTTAAATTAATTTGAAATTCAAGCTTCAAATGTTACCGTTTCCAGAGTGACCATTGGCTTTCTGGCTAAATTAATTGATCATAGATGAATCTATTCCTCTTCTAAGGTTTCATTCATGCCCTCATTTTGCCCAAAATTAGGTTTCTTTCATTTTGGCGGAGTCTATGATCTAGTGATTCTTTTCGTGACCATATTATTGTTCTTTTTCGTATTTTTTAATTTTACAGAAACATGCAAATCATTCCTACGCAAACAAGCACAAGTACAATTTGTTCAGTTAGTTAAGACAACTTTTGACATGCGATTAATGGCTTGCAGTTGGAGGGGAAAACTATATTTATTCATTAGAATAAGTATATTATGTGTGAAGACTTTGACCTGCGCTTCTAATCTTGTCTTAAATGTACTATTCTTCATGTTAAGCTTCGCGCTAAAGGCTAGTTGGCGTGAAAGCATATATGATTTAAGGCTGCAGCCACTGGCTCAAGTTGAGGGAAAGAGTGTCTACAGTCCAAAACTACCAAAAGAATCAGTGATGACTCTCGCTCTTTATTAATTCCTCAGCATGCTCAGCCTTTCTCATCCCATCGTGCTATGCTGAAAAAGATGGGCAAAAGATGGCCGACTTTAAAGCGTCCTTTATGTTGCTACTTGCACTAGTATGCCCATGTCATGAATGAGGAATTTGGCGTATATACATTTCTTATTGCCATAAATAAAAAAAGTTATTTCAGCGTCATAGTTCATTTGTGTTGTAGTGTGAATATTAACTACTCATGCAGAGCTTAGCATAAATCCTGAAATGTTAAAAAATCGAGCGATGATCCCACCGAAAGTTGCAAAAACTCAGGATAGCTGTCTAATAGTTTGACATTGGTTTAATTTGGTTTATGAGGAAATGGAAGATTAAGCCAGCAACCCACATATAACAAAGTCCTGAAACTGTCCACTGAACTATACCTCAAATTCCGAAGTTTGTTGCGAGGAAAGGGGTTATATTCTAATTAATCGAAGCAATAACAAGCATTTGATTAAGCGACCATAAGAGTTCCTATTATGTTAAATATGGCACATTATTTATCAAAGTGATGTTTTTTCTAATAGTGTTTTATAATTACAAATGTCACAATTGTTGGTTAAGTTGAAAGTTGAATTCCTCAAATCTTAGCTGAAGGCACAAATTATATGCACAATCTGTTCAAGGGGCCATTATCACAGATCCACAGCCCAGCATTACCATCATACGATTTGAAGAAGGAACTGTACACATCTAGTATAACTTTCAGCATAGAAGCTTTCCTTCAATATTCAAAAGGAATGAGTTCACAGTTTTACAAAGCACCAAAAAACTATCTCTGTAATCCTCGAAGCATCTTCTGGCGCGGAATTGAACTTCTACATATTTTATCTGACCAAAAGCACAATAAGAAAGTGTTTCCTAGATGACCTCAACATCCATGCATTGAAGTCATCCCATGCCTATATGAAAAAACAAGAAGCTTCCAAATAGTTCTTATATTGAGATATATCATAACCCTATCTATTGCAATTGGGCAACATGAGAACAAAGAAACAAGAATAATTCGGCCAAGTTCATCAGCTGATAATGCCCTAAAATCGATATACGTGAATCAGAGCAGCTTCTTTACATACTAGAAAAACCTCGTTTAATTATCTTCTTGTATTGCCGTTCAGTTTAACATTTCCTGTGTATCATGACTTGCAGTTGTTCATTGAACCTAAGCATTGTCTCCAGTAGATTATTCAGCTTATTAACTGCTTAGCAAGCGTTGATTATTGCCTGTTAAGAGGTGGGTTCCAATTAGCCTGACATGATTAAAATCAACAACGAGGAAGATAACATGCTAATTTAAATTGAATATTACAAATTCTTTCATGAATAAAAATTTATATCCTCTATTTGCAAACATCAATCAAAGAACCCACACACCTAAAGAGACACTTTTAATTACGCAATAGCACCCCGTCAAATACTCACTACCAATACACAGACAAATGAAGAGTGTATAATGCACGTACGAACACTAAGGGAGTATCAATACATTTACAAAACGTGCTCTGGATAGTGATCCCTTTACCATGATTTTAGCAAGATCAAGCACTTAGTTACTATTCTTCCCTTAGATAGCTGGGTGCAGACCGTCGACTCGAAAACTTAAGGCGCTAGCCATAAAAGGCGCAGAAGACAAAAGACTGTTTTTGTAGCCAGGCCAAGAGGTCTGATTCACTTTGATTACTGTTCATCTGAAACTTATACCTTCTTGAGCAATGCTGAGGGCGATGAAGGATGGCTTATGGGGAGATATCTGAATCCCAATCTCTCCTTCTT